CTGACTGGTGTCAGTCTCTCAGTCTTAAGTGTGACAATAGATGGACTGACTGGTGTCAGTCTCTCAGTCTTAAGTGTGACAATAGATGGACTGACTGGTGTCAGTCTCACAGTCTTAAGTGTGACAATAGATGGACTGACTGGTGTCAGTCTCTCAGTCTTAAGTGTGACAATAGATGGACTGACTGGTGTCAGTCTCTCAGTCTTAAGTGTGACAATAGATGGACAGACTGGTGTCAGTCTCTCAGTCTTAAGTGTGACAATAGATGGACTGACTGGTGTCAGTCTCTCAGTCTTAAATGTGACAATAGATGTACTGACTGGTGTCAGTCTCTCAGTCTTAAGTGTGATAATAGATGGACTGACTGGTGTCAGTCTCACAGTCTTAAGTGTGACAATAGATGGACAGACTGGTGTCAGTCTCTCAGTCTTAAGTGTGACAATAGATGGACTGACTGGTGTCAGTCTCTCAGTCTTAAGTGTGACAATAGATGGACTGACTGGTGTCAGTCTCTCAGTCTTAAGTGTGACAATAGATGGACAGACTGGTGTCAGTCTCTCAGTCTTAAGTGTGACAATAGATGTACTGACTGGTGTCAGTCTCTCAGTCTTAAGTGTGACAATAGATGGACTGACTGGTGTCAGTCTCACAGTCTTAAGTGTGACAATAGATGGACTGACTGGTGTCAGTCTCTCAGTCTTAAGTGTGACAATAGATGGACTGACTGGTGTCAGTCTCTCAGTCTTAAGTGTGACAATAGATGGACTGACTGGTGTCAGTCTCTCAGTCTTAAGTGTGACAATAGATGGACTGACTGGTGTCAGTCTCTCAGTCTGAAGTCAATATAATTCAGTTCTAATAATGTTGGTAGAATTACGGACAATATGTTAAGTAAAAGGACACAAGTACAACTAATGTGACATTTTGTTGTAGCAACAATAAAATGTCACAGTTGCACTTGTGTCCTTTAACTAATCAGTTGTAGTTATTTTCGTGTTACTGTTCTCAAATTGCTAACTGACAGCCTTCTTTAAGGCATATATATGACTGCCATTTCACCGGTTCTATAATGCACCTTTGTAACTTGTTTAGCTAGCAAAAAATTTTGTGGTCCAACCTTTGTACCCATTATGTACCTTTGTAATCCTTTAACTACCCCCCACACCATGGGTATGATGTACATAATAGAAATATTAGTTAAATTATCATACATCCGAAGGCCAATGTGAGAGTGAATCCACAGGTGTAGTCTGACTCCACTGTCTACTATCCTACCTTCATTATGTACCTCATACCCATCCTGTGGACGGTGACACAATCACGCCACAGTTAATATTCAAGGGGTTAAGTGCATTTATGGACGATAAAGAACCAGTTAAGGTATCAACCTTAAAATACATGTACACATTTAAGTGCATAGAGTATGGCAGCCCAGTTATTACAAGGTTGCTCCAGTTTCTTTATGAGAGCCATCACTCTGTATGATCCCAGTGGAAATAAGACAAGGATCCCAATGGAAATCAGAAAAAGATCCCATTGGAAATAAGAAAGGGATCCCAATGGAAATAAGAAAAGGACCCCAATGGAAATAAGAAAAGGACCCAATGGAAATAAGAAAAAGATCCCAATGGAAATAAGAAAAGGATCCCAATGGAAATAAGAAAAGGACCCAATGGAAATAAGAAAAGGATCCCAATGGAAATAAGAAAAGGACCCAATGGAAATAAGAAAAGGATCCCAATGGAAATAAGAAAAGGATCCCAATGGAAATAAAAAAAAGGATCTCACTGGAAATAAATCACTTTGACTTTGTTTTGGGGTTATCCCAGGTTCTTTACACATATGCTGCTATGTATAATAATCTATGTAACTGTATTTGTGTATACTTGAATAAACTTACTAACAGCAGCACTACATGCTGCACCAATGGATTGATGGGATGGAAACCTGCCACGCTCTAAGTTCTCTCAGACTTCCTTTTTACTGGCGACCAAGTTTTGTTGGAACCAACCTTACACACGGAGTGACCGTGGTTCAATCCCCGGCCTGGTGGAAACGTTGGTTGTGTTCCCTTACAAATGCTGTCCCTGTTCACCTAGCAGTAAGTAGGTGCCTGGGTGTTAGTCGACTGGAGCTTACCTGGAGAGAGTTCTGGGGGTCAACACCCCCGCGGCCCGGTCTGTGACCAGGACTCCTGGTGGATCAGAGCCTGATCAACCAGGCTGTTACTGCTGGCTGCACACAATCCACCGTACGAGCCACAGCCCGGCTGGTCAAGTACCGACTTTAGGTGCTTGCCCAGTGCCTGCTTGAAGACAGCCAGGAGTCTATTGGTAATCCCCCTTATGTATGCTGGGAGGCAGTTGAACAGTCTCGGGCCCCTGACACTTATTGTATGGTCTCTTAACGTGCTAGTGACACCCCTGCTTTTCATTGGGGGGATGTTGCATCGTCTGCCAAGTCTTTTGCTTTCGTTGTGAGTGATTTTCGTGTGCAAGTTCGGTACTAGTCCCTCTAGGATTTTCCAGGTGTATATAATCATGTATCTCTCTCGCCTGCGTTCCAGGGAATACAGGTTAAGGAACCTCAAGCGCTCCCAATAATTGAGGTGTTTTATCTCCGTTATGCGCGCCGTGAAGGTTCTCTGTACATTTTCTAGGTCAGCAATTTCACCTGCCTTGAAAGGTGCTGTTAGTGTGCAGCAATATTCTAGCCTAGATAGAACAAGTGACCTGAAGAGTGTCATCATGGGCTTGGCATCCCTAGTTTTGAAGGTTCTCATTATCCATCCTCATTATCCGTTCTCATTATCCATCATTATCCATCCTGACTAGCGAGGGCGGCATCCTGGGGGACAAGATTGAAGGATCACAATGGAAATTATATCTTAACTTAACAACGTGAATCATTATATCTTTAGTGTACTTAACAACGTGAATCATTATATCTTTAGTGTACTTAACAACGGTGTAAATCATTATACCTTTAGTTTACTTAACAACATTTTATTAAATTTGTTATTATTATTAAAGATTCCCCGGTATACTCCCGGCCCGGGCCTTTTCCAAGTGGTGGCCCAGCCTTGGCTCCCTCTTTAGGGAGTGTCTGAGACCTAAGTCTCCCATGGGAGGAGGCACAAGTACTCCCTCATCTTTGGGAACAACTGTCCCCAGGCCTAGCCACATTCCCCGCCCTCACGGGGCTCGTAGGGAGAAGCTAGGCCTCTCTGGTCTGCCATCCCCGCCCCAAGGCGGCTAATGAGAATGACAGTCTTGTGAGCTGCAAACTCTGGCTCAAGCACCTACCCTACCCTAGAAGGGCTGGGCATCGTGTCGATGTTTTATCAAATGTGAATCACACAGTGTAACCTTTGCAAAGAAATAAAAATCGTATTGTATATTATCATCAATGTTAATCAGCGCTTGAGGTTCCTGAACCTGTATTCCCTGGAACGCAGGCGGGAGAGATACATGATTATATACACCTGGAAAATCCTAGAGGGACTAGTACCGAACTTGCACACGAAAATCACTCACTACGAAAGCAAAAGACTTGGCAGACGATGCAACATCCCCCCAATGAAAAGCAGGGGTGTCACTAGCACGTTAAGAGACCATACAATAAGTGTCAGGGGCCCGAGACTGTTCAACTGCCTCCCAGCATACATAAGGGGGATTACCAACAGACCCCTGGCAGTCTTCAAGCTGGCACTGGACAAGCACCTAAAGTCGGTTCCTGACCAGCCGGGCTGTGGTTCGTACGTTGGTTTGCGTGCAGCCAGCAGCAACAGCCTGGTTGATCAGGCTCTGATCCACCAGGAGGCCTGGTCACAGACCGGGCCGCGGGGGCGTTGACCCCCGGAACTCTCTCCAACTTATGCCTAGTGTGAACACTAACTCCAAGGCCGAGGGACTGATTACCTCATCTTTTGTATATAGTTCTACTGTCTTCCTATTATGTCCTAGAATCTGTATTGATAAAGCCACTGGATGGCGAAACGTCTACAATAGATATCCAGATGTTGCACATGTGTCTTAACTTTCATTTATAGTCAGGTTCAGAATGCTGAGGTCAGGTGGAGAATGCTGCATCTGATGATCTACCGGGTGGGGTTATAGAGTCTAAAATCTTGGGTAGCTTGGAAGGGAGATTGGATAAGTTTGTGAGCAGACCTTCTGCAGTGTTCTTCCATTCCTATGTTCTTATGTGGGATAGCGATGAAGAAGTTTCTTGGCAAGTGGTTCAGCTATGTTATAGAAGCCATTATTCTGGTTGAAGTTGTCGGATATAGAGATAAGTGATGATTCCAGGATTCTTCGGTATTGAGTGTTGTCTTCTGTGGCGATAAGTCTTGAGTTTCTGTAGTTAATTAATCAAGACTTATAAATACTCACGTACCTTCCACCCCAGATAGATCTGTTTGTGACTTAAAAAAGCCCACTGTGTGGGCGAAACGTTGTCAATAAAGGATCACATTAAACTGCATATGTGTTTATATTTCCAGTAATAGCCTGGTTGCTCAGGCCCTGATCCATCAGGAAGCCTGGTCATGGACCGGGCCGCGGGGGGCGTTGACCCCCTGAATACCCTCCAGGTAGACATGAGGACGCTCAGATTTTCCTGCTTATTTTCGCTGTGGTATTTTTTACTGTTTGCAAAGACATAAAATAAATAAATAAAAATAAATAAATAAATATACTTGCAGTTACGAATTATATTTTTATTTCTTCCATTAAGCATCTTAAATAAACATAATGGTTTTACCAGTATAAAAGAACTACTGGAATCTTTTGTAATTAACCTTTTTTTTTTCCAAAGACCCCAGTGGAAATAAGTTACATTATCTGAATTTTTTTGGGGTTATCCTAGGTAATTTACACATGCGTTATTATGTATGATAATTGTAATTATGTGGACCTGTACCTAAATAAACTTATTTATTTACTTAATCTTGCTTTTGTGAATGATGGTGGTGGTGGGGGGGGGGTTGAGGGGGGTCAGTCAGCTGATCACACAACAACAACAACAACAACATCAGACTAACACGCATCCACCACCAAATTTTCCCACTTGGAGGAACCTTCATTTTAAAAAGGCCACAACTGGTAATTTATTAAGGAGGTGACAGAGCACTGACACCCAGAGAGAGACATTTTATCTGGAAGATTGTTTAATTATCTTATCTGAGGTGACAGAGGTGAGGGTCAGCCATGGACACCGAGACTGCCTTACTCTGGGGCTTCCTCATACTCATCTTGCTGGTTGTGGCTACCATTATTGGTCTCCTGGTTCATTCTGGTCTATTTATTCCTGTGGATGTCAAAACTTGCAAGTGAGTTCTCCAGATTCTTGGATTTTTTTTTGTTACTATGACGGGAGGTACCTAATACATTTTAACTTCGTCAACTTTGTTATATAAATCACTTTAACATTAAACTTGAATTCATTAGAACCAGAAATTGTTATAGATTTTTTTAAATGTAACGTATCATATATATACAAATATAAATGCCCCGGCATGATAGTGGTTTTATTAGTACTTACCAAACTAAAATTGTTATTACACATTGTAACCTATACAAAGAAATAAATCTTTATCTTTTTTTACGTATATATACATTTACATATATTATGTTACATTTACATATACATTTGCATATACATATATACATTTACATATGCATACATACATATGCATATATACATATGCATACATATGTACATATGCAACCACAGCTGAGTACATACATATATACATATGTACATACATATATACATTCATATGTACATACATATATACATACATATATATACATATATACACATATATACACATACATATATATACATATATACACATACATATATACACATACATATATACACATGCAATAAGATCACAGTAAACAGGTGATTTCAGAATATGCAAAACAACCACTCTGAAAGAATAGAGAAATTCCAAGCGCTTTCGTGACTACTCACATTATCAAGGAACTATGAAAGTAAAGCATCCAAGGAAGCTATATAAGGGGTCTGGCCAGCACCTCACTATCAGATCCCACAACGGTTAAACACGTGACGCGCGCTGACCCAACTTGGATAGGTCCTTTGCACAACTCACCCACAAACTATTCTACCCAAGAAAATTTAAAAATTATTATTTGTCCAGTGTATTATTAAATTCTTCCCAAATTCTATTAATTATAAATGGATCTAATTTATATAAACCAAAGGAAATATTCATATTATTGTCAAAACTGCTTTTTATGAAACAAGATTCAATTATATTCCTGTCGACCATGGACTTGCTTGATACTACTTTCTCAACTGTTTGAAAATCAATTGGATGGTTAAAATCTCATACATGAATAAATAGAGCATTGGAATCTTGTCCAGTTCTAATGCTATATTTATGTTGTTTTAATCTTAGTTCGAGATTTTTACCAGTTTGACCGTAATAAACTTTATCGCAAATTTTACAAGGAATCTTATAGACACATCCATCAGCATTTTGGGGGGATCTGATAGTGAGGTGCTGGCCAGACCCCTTATATAGCTTCCTTGGATGCTTTACTTTCATAGTTCCTTGATAATGTGAGTAGTCACGAAAGCGCTTGGAATTTCTCTGTTCTTTCAGAGTGGTTGTTTTGCATATATACACATACATATATACACATACATATATACACATACATACCGTGTCTTCCTTTGCAGATGACACCCGAATTTGCATGACAATGTCCTCCGTTGAAGACACTGCAAGACTCCAGGTGGATATCACCCAAATCTTTAAAATATGCCACAGAAAACACTATGAAATTCAGTGATGAGACATTTCAATTACTCCGATATGGAAAACATGGACATTGAAACTATATCGGAGTATAAAACAAATTCCAACCACACAATAGAACAAAAAAGTAATGTCAAGGACCACAACATTGTATGAATCGCATCTGCTAGAAAAATGACAGGATGGATAATGAGAACCTTCAAAACTAGGGATGCCAAGCCCATGATGACACTCTTCAGGTAAAAATGACAGGATGGATAATGAGAACCTTCAAAACTAGGGATGCCAAGCCCATGATGACACTCTTCAGGTCTCTTGTTCTATTTAGGCTGGAATATTGCTGCACACTAACAGCACCTTTCAAGTCAGGTGAAACTGCTGACCTAGAAAATGTACAGAGAACCTTCACGGCACGCATAACGGAGATAAAACACCTCAATTACTGAGAATGCTTGAAGTTCCTCAACCTGTACTCCCTAGAATGCAGGCGGGAGAGATACATGATTATATACACTTGGAAAATCCTAGAGGGGCTAGTACCAAACTTGCACACAAAAATCACTCCCTATGAAAGCAAAAGACTTGGCAGACACTGCAACATCCCCCCAATGAAAAGCAGGGGTGCCACTAGCACGATAAGAGACAACACAATAAGTGTCAGGGGCCCAAGACTGTTCAACTGCCTCCCAGCATACATAAGGGGGATTACCAATAGCTCCCTGGCTGTCTTCAAGAAGGCACTGGACAGGCACTTTAAGTCAGTACCTGACCAGCCGGGCTGTGGTTCGTGTGTCAGGTTGTGTGCGGTCAACAGTAACAGCCTGGTTGATCAGGCCCTGATCCACTATGAGGCCTGGTCACAGACTGGGCCATAAGGGTGTTGACCCCAGAAACCCTCTCCAGGTATACTCAAGGTATACACATACATACACATGCATGCATATACATACATACATACACATGTACATACATATACATATATATATATGTCGTGCCGAATAGGCAGAACTTGCGATCTTGGCTTAAATAGCAACGCTCATCTTGCCATATAGGACAAGTGAAAATTTGTGTATGCAATAATTTCGCCAAAATCATTCTGTACCTAACGAAAAAAAATATATTTCACTGTGTTTGTTTAGTATTAAATTATTGTAAACAAATCTAAAATATATTTAATTGGGTTAGGCTAAAATAAATTGTTCTTGATACAGTAAGGTTAGGTAAGTTTTCTAAGTTCCTTTTGGTGCAAAATCATAAATTTTTACATCAACATTAATGAAAAAAAATATATCTTTAAACGTATAAGAGAAAATTTTAGAAAGGGCTTAAATTTAAATGAGTTCTTGCTAATTGACCAGTTTTACATATTCGGCACGACATATACATATACATATATATACATATACATACATGTACATACATATACACACATACATGCATGCATGCATACATACATACATACATACATACATACATACATACATACATATACACACATACACACAGTGTTGGAGAGGAAACTCAAGGTATGGTACACCAATGCTAATGGAATAATGAATAAGTGGGAGTGGCATGAAAGAATAAAAGATGGATCACCAGACATCATAGCTCTCACCAAAACCAAGCTCACAGGAATGATAACAGATGCCATCTTTCCAATGGGATATTGGATCCTGAGGAAAGAAAGAAAGAGGGAACAGACAGGGTGGAGGAGTGGCACTGCTCATCAAAAACCAATGGGATTTTGATGAGCTGGAGAGAGGAGACAGAGGTGAAGCAAGAGACTACATAATTGGAACACTTCAGTCTGGAGGTCCCAAGGTGGTAATTGCAGTGATGTATAATCCACCACAGAACAGCAGGAGGCCAATGCAAGAGTATGATGAGAGTAACAGACCAATGGGTGACACACTGGCTGAAGTGGCCAGAAGGGCTCATGCGAGCACGGCAAAGCTGCTGATTATGGGAGACTTCAACCATTAGGAAATTGTCTGGGAGAACCTGGAACCACATGGGGGCCCAGAAACATGGAGGGCTAAGATGATGGAGGTGGTACTGGAAAACCTCATGTACCAACACATAAGGGACACTACCAGAGAGAGGAGAGGATGACCCAGCAAGACTGGACCTAGTACAGTGTATTAACCTTGAGTGGTTCAGATATTGAGGACATCACATACGAAAGACCCCTCTGGGCCAGTGACCACGTGGTTCTGAGCTTTGAATACATAGAGTTACAAGTTGAAAGAGAAGCAGGAAGGGTGGGACAAATAAGCCAAACTACAAGAGAGGGGATTACAGAGGCATTAAGAATTTCCTGCATGAGGTTCAGTGGGACAGAGCACTGGCAAGGAAATCAGTAAATGAGATGATAGACTATGTGACAACAATATGCAAGGAAGCTGAGGAGAGGTGGTTTGTACCCAAGGGCAACAGAAATAACAAGAATGCCAGGATGAGCCCTTGGTTCACTCATTGGTGTAGAGAGGCCAAAACCAAGTGTGCTAGAGAATGGAAGAACTACAGAAGGCAAAGGACCCAGGAGAATAAAGAGAGCAGTCGTAGAGCAAGAAATGAAAATGCACAGGTAAGAAGGGAGGCCCAGTGACAATATGAAAATGACATAGCAGCAAAGCCAAATCTAACCTGAAGCTGTTGTACAGCCACATCAGGAGGAAAACAACAGTCTAGGACCAGGTAATCAGGCCGAAGAAGGAAGGAAGGAAGGGAGATCACAAGAAATGACCGAGAAGTATGTGAGGAGCTCAACATGAGATTCAAAGAAGTGTTTACAGAAGAGACAGAAGGGACTGCAGAAAGATGGAGAGGTGGGGTACACCATCAAGTGTTGGACACAATACATACAACCGAGGAAGAAGTGAAGAGGCTGCTAAGTGAACTAGATACCTCAAAGGTGATGGGGCCTGATAACATCTCTCCATGGGTCCAAAGAGAGGGAGCAGAGGCGCTATGTGTGCCACTAACAACAATCTTCAACACATCTATCGAAACAGGGCAACTACCTGAGGTATGGAAGACAACAAATGTAGTCCCAGTCTTTAAAAAAGGAGACAGACATGAAGCATTAAACTACAGACCAGTGTCACTGACATGTATAATATGCAGAGTCATGGAGAAGATTATCAGAAGAGTGGTGGAGCACCTAGAAAGAAATGAACTTATCAATGACAACCAGCGCAGTTTCAAGGATGGGAAATTCTGTGTCACAAACCTACTGGAGTTCTGTGACAGGGTGACAGCAGTAAAACAAGAGAGAGAGAGAGAGAGGTGAGTAGATTGCATTTTCTTGGACTGTCAGAAGGCTTTTGATACAGTTCCACACAAGAGATTAGTGCATAAGCTGGAGGACCAGGCAGGTATAACAGGGACGGCACTGCAATGGATCAGGAAATACCTGTTGGGAAGACAACAGTGAGTCATGGTACATGACGAAGTGTTAGAGTTTGCGCCTGTGACAAGCGGGGTTCCACTGGGGTCAGTCCTAGGACTGGTGCTGTTTCTGATATGTGTGAATGACA